AATACCACATGTGGTATTCTAATGTGAAATTGATTTGCCAAGTCCAACTATTTCTCTTGTAGTTCAACCAAGGCTTTTTCTAAGAAAAGAATAAAAGAATCTGACTTAGCGCAGCTGTTGTTAGACTGAAGAAGTTTGTTATGGAGTGCAGAAACTTTCTGCAACATCAATTCCATTCTCGGGGACTGAGGAAACACACAGCCAAGTAATTTGCCATGTGGTGTGCGACCACTTGCTGCTAGAGCAGTCACTTGAAGAACAGGTCCTTGAAAACCTATCCTACTGGGAATCATCAGGGGTTAGGATCAGTAAAGCTCATGGTTTAACTTGATGGCTAGGTTTTTAGGCTGTCTCCTTCAGCCTCCTTCCTATGCTAGCTATACTTCAGCCGTTCATTTCCTCTCTCTCCGTTCTCAAGGCAGAAATCCCAGAATTGCAGGCTTTCTCTCACAGCACATAACTTCCTCAGTAATTTTTTCCATGTTCTTTCACACATTAAGCAGCTATCTGCTTAACAAACTACTCACGCACATATTTATGCTGTGCTAAATATGAACCCAGTGAATGACCTGGAGGATTCCAAATGAGATTTTTCTCAACACTTCCCCCGAGTGCATTGTGTTTCCTGAGGACACATGGGTATTTCAAATAGAAAAAAATGACTTTTGCGGCTTTGGATAATATGGCTCTATTTTGAAGAATTTTATTCTGTGTTATCTTGCTAGGATAATGAAAGGAAAATGTGAGGAGAAAGGCTTTATATATTCTTAAGAGTTAATAATCCTGGATTTTGTTTCCTATTAATACTGGCTTAGAATGGCTTTCTTATCATTCCAATATTCTGAAAGGCTAACACTCATTCATACACCATAATCTGATCTGAGTTGATCTGATCTTATCTCATACCATATACTATATATACTACATCTGGCTTGGAAAAGAAGTTTGATGCCTCTAATTGCTTTCATTATGTTGATTGCAAAAGACAGCATTTAGCTAAAGAAGTGCATCACTAATTTCAAGTCAAGTTATTTTGATTCTGCAGCAGTTAATGGTCACAGTGAAAAATAATAATTTGCCTAAGCTCTTCAATATGCATATTAATCTTGTTAAATGTTTTAACAACTTATTTATAGTTATTATTGTTTATAGTTATTATGGTATTATCTAGTAAACTATTTCTCCTATTATTCAGATTTTTGCAAAATGTTTATAATTTTCACATAGAAACAGAACAATATAGAAATATTTCTACAGTCAAGACCTAGTAGTTATCAATTAGCAAATCATCAACTCAATTGTTATTTTAATTGTCTTGTCAACAAATAATAGTTACATAGTTTGATAGATTTAGGGAACGGTGAAATGTTTGTTCAGAGAATTCTTAAAGATATTTAATTTTGTTCCTCATATATAATATTTCAACATCTCAATGTCAATAATAAAAGCTGCTTGTCATTCAATAGAGAATTCTGACTCCAACAATAAAGAATTTTTTTGGAATAACAAAAAAAATATTTTGCACCGTGTATCCACTAATAGCCAGACACGTCAACCATAAGTTGTCTAATTGTAATGAACATTTTTCTTACAAAAAGATAACAATATGCTATGTTTCGAATTGCTTTAATCAAAATATTATTTTAAACTGCATTTTGAAATTTTACATGATAAGTATTTAATGTGATATTAATTTTGCATTGTTCCCATTCTACAAGATTTCGCTATATTTAGATGTATTTAAAT